GTCACTGCTGTGGGCCCCAACGTCACCAGCTTCAAGGTGGGCGACAAGGTCGGCGTCGGCTGCATGGTGGACAGCTGCCGCGAATGCCAGTCCTGCAAGGAGGGTGATGAGAACTACTGCGCCACGGGTGCCGTGATGACCTACAACGGCAAGTACAAGTACAAGCACTGCCAGGAGTACACCGAGGACGGCGGCAAGCCCACCTATGGTGGCTACGCCCAGAGCATCGTGGTCGACAAGAACTACGTGTGCCGCATCCCCGACAACTTGGATCTTGCTGGTGCCACGCCCCTTCTGTGCGCAGGCATCACCGTCTACTCGCCGATGGCTTACAACGGTCTCAAGGCAGGTCAGAAGCTCGGTGTGGCTGGCCTCGGCGGTCTGGGCGCCATGGCAGTGATGATCGGCAAGGCCTGGGGCTGCGAGGTCACGGTCTTGTCGCGCAGCGAGGGCAAGCGCGAGGAGGCCATGAAGGAGCTGAAGGCGGACAAGTTCGTCGTGATGTCCAACGACTCAGATGTGGAGGCGGCCGCTAGCTCCCTCGACATGATCATCGACACCATCGCAGCCAAGCATGACATCCCCACCTACCTCAGCTTCTTGAGGCAGAACGGCAAGTTCGTGATGGTTGGAGTGCCTGCAGAGCCGCTGGACTTCCATGCCTTCGCCATCATCCCCAAGCGCAAGACGATCACAGGCTCCCTCATTGGCGGCATTCGCGAGACGCAGGAGATGCTCGACTTCTGCGGGAAGCACAACATCATCTGCCCCCACGAGCTCATCAGCGGCGACAAGATCAGCGAGTCCTATGACCGCGTGGTGAAGTCGGATGTGAAGTACCGCTTTGTGATTGACACCTCCACGTTCTGAGTGGAAAGGATGACATGCGACTGCTAATGAGCCATGCAGCTTCCTTGAAGGAGGAAAGCTGTTTTCTTGCACCATGTTTCTGGTGGCCTGCGGTGGACACTGGCCAAACCCCCGAGCACGAGGGTCGGTCCAGGCGTCCTGCGGTCGCCTCAACACTCTTTCACCGGCAGCTTGGAGCGCAGGCGACTCGGGTTGCCAACGTTAGAGCTCCTTGTTCGCATTTTCGCTTGTGTCGCAGAAGACTCCGCTGCTAGACCTGGGTGCTTGACTGGTCCCAGCTGCGGGCGGCGACGCTAGCCTTCAGAAGTTCAGTTGTGCGGTATGAGATCTCGCATTCAGCTGAGCATGAGAACACAGTTTTGAACCTCCTGCTCGATGCTCGTATGATTGCTATTATTACTACTGTGGTGGTGGCTATTGTGGTCATGACGATTATGATAGCGACGATGATCGTGATGATTATGATGACTATGACGATGATTGTAAGAATTATGATTCATGATATCTGTTGTTGATGATGATTAAACATTCGGCTATGTTGACTCGTTCATTTTGCCCACGAGTGGTGAGCGGCGCTTCATTGTGTGAGATTTAGGGACCTTGGCGTTGACAGCGCTCTGTGGCGGGATCAAGGTGGGTATTTCTCTAAGTTAGGGAACCCTAAACCCAGGTCCCTGTTTAGGTCACCAAAATATTTTCCGTACCCTTATGAAACGGGACCTTATAAAAGCGACTCTGATTCTGCCCATGAGGAGGTGGGTATAGTTAGTAACTGTTTCCCGTTTAGTCCCACTATACTGAAATTATACGATCGTATATCCCGAAAACCTGTTCTGATCGTTACATCAATCATTAATGCCCCTATATTTCTTGCCTTTGGCTGTTCATCCATCTACCTATCTATCTACTTAATCTACCTATTTATCTACCTGTCTATCTGTGTATAAATATACATATAGATCTATAGTATGTTATACCCCAAAACCCTAGTCTAAGTATTGAGGTGCCTGTCTTGTGGTTTGTTTCAGCGAACCGGGATCCCTGTAGGGGTCCTGACATTAAGATTAGAGTCTCACCATTCAGGGGTCTATATCAGGGTTTCCTGTTTTATGAAACGCACATGTGCCAGGAGGACGAGGACTAAGAGGCCAACAGACGAGTGCCGCACATCGACCCCCGCGACCGCGAATGCTCTGCGAAGGGACTGAGCGATGAACCCTCGTGCTCTCACAGCACAGCACGAAAAAACTAGCGCAGCAGTCACAAATCAGATTGTAGAGAACTTCGAGCACTGTAAATCCTGAAGCCCGCAAGCCTAACCTCGGGGAAAGGCTGAACAGAGGGATAGGATTCGGGGTCCGGGGGTTTAGGGCCCTATGGGGCTGATAGTGCAGAGCAGGAGGCCGTCGCAGGATCAGCAGAAGTTTTCTGCTGTGGTCTTCCGTTCCCCTGGTTTGCTTAAACTTGAGATGCATGGTTTTTCAGACAGACGGTAGAAGCCCCAAGGCTATGATCCTAAACGTTGTGCAGAGGCATTGGTGTTTTGGGCTTCGCATGTTTCTGTCTTGGAGTGTCGATTCGCCACAGTGCAGAGGTCTCAGGATTTGGATTAGGGAGCCATGTACTTCGACAAGCATTCGCCAGAGTCATGTAGATCCTTGAATCTGCTTTATTTCAACCCTAACCCTAAATCCTAAACCCTAAACCCTAAACCCCAGAATCCTAAACCCTAAACCCTAACCCAAGGTCCCCTTCTGCCTTAACTTACTGTTCCAACTGGCCGCAGCTGAAGATCGTTAGTGAGCTGAATTTACGAGCAGTGCTCGGGAACTGTTGTGAGGACTTTACAGTGGTTTAGGGTTTAGGGTCTAGGGTTTAGGTTGCGGAGTTTAGTGCTCTCTGAAGTGTACCAGTGGCCTCCCGAGCACTGCACAGCATGCCGCGGCCGACGCAGTCACTCAAAAGCCGTCGCTGCACTCGATGCAAGGAAAATTACACTTGCTCGACGTCGAGCAAAACCCAAACCCTAAGGCCCTAAACCCTAAACTGATAAGCCTCCAAAGCAATCCTCATGCTCCCTCCCTCAACGGCTTGGGTTGTAGGGTTTAGGTCGCGTCGCCGTGCGGTATGTCGTGATGTAGCTTTATCTTATTGTCAAGCGGTTTGGTGGGTCAGTGGAAGCTGCAACATCGACTGCGCAAAGTTCGTCTTCTGGCGTGAAGCAGTCGTCTTGTAGTATCCGAGCCTCTCCATCATCAAAACCGTAATCTCAGTCAGTAGTTTCGTCAATGAGGGCAGCCACGTGACTTCGTGCTCCCAAGCCTACATTACATGACCCTAAACCCTAAACCAAAGGTCGTTGCTTCAAGGCTACATTGCATGGAACGTCTTTGGCTCGGACCAGCGTAGCTTGATGATATAGGTGCCAATCGAATCAGGCGGGCTGGGGCGCTAAAGACCCAAAACCCTGCAGTATAGGGGCCTTAAATTCATAATCACTAGAGTAGGCGTTTGGGGAATTATAATTATAACAGGAACCCTGAGGCGTAGTAGTGGTAATGTTTCCGGCATCTATAGTATCTGAAGTCTCCAAAGGCATTGAGTTGTCTTGAACTCTGCAGCACGTGGGTAGTTCTCTAAACTAGGGTCCCTTTTAGGGTCCTTTGTATAGGGGTGCTGTGCTCCTTTGGGGACCTAAATAAACCGCAACCCTAATTTAGAGAAGCGCCCATACACTCCAGCACGGTGTTACCTGACAGCAATTACTGCCGCTGCATTGTAACTGGTCATCTTGGGTTCCCTGTAAGGTAGCACCATGTCATTTCGTCATGGCATGGCACGTCAGCTCGCGTGATGTTACTATAGAAGCCTGAAAATCTTTACCTATATTCCTCCTTAGGGCTTCTTATTATCATTACATGATTTTCTGTCTCGGGTAACTTTCCACCACTTGCGCATGTCACGCTTCAAGTCCACTCGAGATGGCTGCGTGGACTAGTACATGGGTAGTTCTCCAAATGAGGGTCCCTTTTAGGTCCACCAACATAGTACGGCGCCCTTGTAAACATCATGCTAAGCGGGAACCCAATATAGTGCACCCACATCATGTTTTGGCCGTGCCGTTCCCTCTCAGACATGTCTGCCGTTTATGTAACATTTGGATTGCCGGTTTCAGTGTTCAGTTATGCTGCTGTGTACTACTTTGAGTCAAATCCTTCTGAGACAGACGACGATCGGCTAAATTCCACTGCTTCACAGGCTGACATGTTTCATTGTATGCCATCCTGTACACAGCATTCCTGTTCAGCGAACAGCGCCTATTACAACAGCTCAGTTTCACGCAACAATGTCCTCTTCTATGCCGCATGGTATCAAACCGGCGATTTCTTCAATATTGCTAACCTTAAACCCTAAACCCTGAACCCTTCTATGTTCAAAGTAATTAGCGTATGTGCAAGGACCCCTAATCTGATCCAGGGCGCCTACCCTCCGTTCCAAGACTCCCGTGGTAAAGACTTTCAGCGTATTGAGGCTGTTTTGATATTAGGCTAAGTATCGCACGACCTAAAAACTCCATACCACATGGGCTTGATATCGATGTCCCAGGGTGCCCGATACCTGTCAACCCAGCAATATACCTTCAATGAAACTTAGAATCTTATATCTTTTGGCATAGCGCAGCCTTGAAACGCAGTTGAAGGCCGTTCTACAGGTGCTTGTAAGAAGGTTTAGGGTGGAGGCGGTGTGGGCCAAACTCTCTCCTGTCTGGATTGCCTAAACCCCTAACCCGAAACCCAACCCTAAACCCCTAAACCCAAAACCCTTTCTAGTCCTTTAGAAAGGGGCCCGTTGACTGTCAGAAGCAGTTTGCCCGTTACCTAAGCCCAGGTGCAGAAACTCTGCTAAACTCAGCAATGTCAAGTGTAAGGCAGAAAGCAGATGGTTCCATTGACAATTATTGAGTTTGTATCCTGTTGTACCTGACCTACACCCAAAACCCTGAACCCTGCTCTTATCCACAGCACTGATGATCTGTCATCACCCAGACCCCAAACCCTAATCCCCAAACCCTAAACCCTAAGTCTAACTCTGACCTCTCAGCCAAAAGACTTGAAGTTGAAAGAAGCAAAGACGAGTATAAGAAGTGCTTTAGATTTGAGTTTGTATTCTGTGCAAGTATCTAGTGTTAACTTATTGCAATCTGCCCCAAAACCCGAGTCTGAATTTTATGTTCCGTTTTTGCGACACCAAAGTGGTGAACCTTCGGCATCGTAGCCAATAGACCCGAAACCTTGACTCCCAAAACCCTAAACCCTAAACCCTAAACCCTAAACCTCGCGCTGTGTCTGCGACAGGTTGGCGCGCAGGGCTCTCTCCGCTTTTTGGCGAGAGGCCGTCTGAGGGCTCTTGCACAGGGTTTAGGGTTTAGGGTTTAGGGTTTAGGGTTTTGCATTTCAGGAATGATGGTAAGGCTTGGTGTTTTATAGAAACCCTAAACCCTAAACCCACGGGCATTAGGGGACTTATGAAGTCCAATAACAGATTTCGGCTTTGGGCTTGAGTCCTAGAGATTTTTGTTGGTGCTTCTGGGTTGCAGGGTAGGGTTTTGGGCGCAGGGTTTTGGGTAAGTTAAGGTCGATTCATGGTTCAGTCGGTTCTCTTGTTTGCGAGGGTGACAGACGCGGTTGTGGAGCGGTTGCAATATGCCGGGATTCGGAAGTAACATCCCTAAACCCTAAACCCTTGTTTGTGGGCCGGGGATTCGAAGAAGGTGCAGAAGAAGCTGAGGCAAACCCCGGGAGCCACACCAGTCAATGGATAGGTTCATGATTGTTTGTTGTTGATATTGACACTATTTCCAATAATAATCATATCAATACTATTACTAATAATCGTCATAACAATACTATTATGATTCTTATTACAGCAACACAAGCCACCACACTTCCACCGCCACCGACAAACGAGCACCGGCACCAGCTCAAGATCAACAGCCGCAA